GGTTTCGGGCCGTGTAATGGGTTCTTGAAGGTTTGGGCTCGAACGGGCCAACTATTGAATCTATCAATTTCGGGGCCAAGTAACATGTCTCATAGACCAACTCAACCCATGACACCCCTAATCCCAATTGCCATGGGACCAAAGACGACCCAATACAAATCGAGGCCTAAAGCGAGAATTTAACATTAGAGTCGATCAATATTTTAGGAAGATAATAAAAAAATTATGGGGCTCTTGTTATGTCTCATCTCATTCAAATGATTGTCGTGTCTGTATATCTCGCAATGTGTAGTCTCTACGTGTCTCTTGTTGTTGAATTTTCGTCCATGAAACCGATTAGGTGAGACAAAATTGATTACTAGATAACATGCAAAGATTAAAACAAATATATATGTTAATCTTTATTTTTTACATTTTATTTCAATTTGTCAAAAATTATGTGTGAACCGTTACAGGTAGGAGTGTCAATTTTCGACACGACACAAATTGAATATGAAATTAATAGGTCAGACACGAAATTAAACGGGTCAACACGTTTAAACATGAAAAAAATCATGTCGGGTTTATGTTAAAATCAGGTCAACCTAATTTTGACTTGATTAACCTGTATATTTTAAACGAGTTGACATAATTTGGACATAAACCCGACCTAACTCATTGTAGACCTGTTTAACCCGTTTATGCCAGTATAATTTGCCTATTATGTATAACTGATGTAGTTTTTAACATTATTACTTATTACTTCTACTATGGTAATTGACACTATAGTTCTTAATATTATTATGACATTATAATAGTATAGTTCTTGCTTTAATTTTTGGGTTGAAACTTAAATATATTTTAGTTAATTTCATTGATGAGATGTGATATATTATTGATTAAAAAATTATTTGAAATTTTAGATGAATAATGTATGAGCAATGTTATGTAACCTAAATTTGTAACCCAAATCAATACGGATGATTGAATTAGTGGTTCCCATTTAAGTTGATGGGACTCACTCATCCAATAGTCCCTGTTCATTTGGGATGCAAATTTGGGTTGTAAATTTAGGTTACATAGTATTTTTCATGATATATTAACATTAATGAACATGTGTGGAAACAGGTTGTGTGTTAAACAGGTTAAACAGGGTCAGGTTATGTGTGTTAATCTGAAATTAACTTGTTGATTAAACATGTCAAACAAGTTGGGTTCGAGTAATCCGTTTAATAGCCAGGTCAAATTAATGTTTACACATCTCGACACGATTATTAAACATATCAGGTTTGTGTTTTGGGATTTTCGACACAAACTTGAAATCAATCCGATATGAAATGATCCAACTCGACACGTTTGACACCACTAGTTAGATGATAGTGTTATAATAATGTTACAACGTGTTGTGCATATTTTTCTTTTTTGGTAATTTAGGCATTTACATATGTACTATTTTCATACTCATGTAATATGTGTGCAACTATTCAATAATACAATCCATAGGAATTGTAAAAATACATAAATTATCTCTTTGAAAATTGTTCATAATGTACATAGATCATCATGGCTAACTGAAAAGAGTTTTACTTTCATGACTAGTAAACCCTTTTTAGCAAAGAGATTTGCACATTTGTTTCTCTCTCTCATCTTTTGCTTGCCTAGTACTTTTCGAAATCTCTCAAGTAACCCATCAAGAGTTAATTAATATATTTTGAGGTTCATATTGGTGACTCTAAATAAAGTTTTTATTTTCTAATATTAGTTTAAAAAAATTCTCACTTTTTGAGATGATGATTATTATTTAATTTTGTATACGTATATTTTTAGTTGATCACATGATTAATCTACCTAATCTTTCTAATTTTATGAGATCTATTATTGTCTATTTACCTAAATTTTACATAAATTCTTTTGTTATGTTATGTTTGTTACCAGTGACAAATATATTTAAAATATTTTATTTAAAATTCATATAGTTTTAAAAAAAAATTCTCTTGTTCAATTTTTTTCATATTCAAATGTTTGTTTTCTAATTTTTATATTTGCAAATCAATGAAATACTTCTATAATACAAAAATATTACTATCTTGAAATTATAAAAATTAAAATTTATTACCGTCATCAACAAAATTAAGATATGCTATTAGGATTCTCCCTTGACATTGTCTATTAGGAGAAAAAAAAGAAGGGAATCAATAGATTAATATTTTATATATTTAATTAATTTAAAAAGTATTACACTCGTAATAAATTACACTACCAGAAAAAATATTTTTTAAGATATATTTTTTGTGACATTTATAATATCTACGCCAATTTTATAATTTTATCTTAAATCTCTATTTTATTAATATTTTTTGCAACATGTTTCCAAGTTTGTCACAAATGGCAATTCCCTTCTATTATTTATTACGATAAAAATTTTTTGTTGCAGATAGTATTAAATTGTTGTAAAAATAAATAATCAAAATTTGAAATAATTATAAATAAAAATATTAAACAACTAAAATGACGTCGTTTTGAACTTTTAAAATACCCCTTCCCTCCATAAACAACGTCATTGTCGGCATTTAAAATTAAAAAAAACCTCATTTCCACCCAAAAATGACATCGTTTTAAGAAGCCTCCCTAAATGGTGTCATTTTGAGAAAAAAGTAGTATTCCTCCTTTTTCTCTATATACAGAGAGAGAGAGAGAAAGAGAGAGAGAGAAATATACTTTCCAATGAGGACTAGTGGACGCCACTTGCGGGAAGAGAGACCAATGAGAAGATCAGACGTTGACAAAAAAGGGAAAGGGTAAAAACCCTACTTTTGCTACTGTACAAGGGTATTTTAGTATGGAGCTTAGGGAGGCCGGTACCTTCTAAAAAATTTAATAGGATAAAAGTGTATTTTTTAAAATAATTGGGATAGAAGTACATATGCTAAAAAAAAAATCATAAAAGTCCTTTTACCCCTACTATAAATAGTGCATACCTAATTGAATGTGAGACTTTCAAGATTCCTTTTGATATTTGTGTATCATTTGAATTTTGAAATTTCATATATATATATATATATATATATATATATATATATATATATATATATATATATATATATACACACACACACGTAATCCAGTGACATCAAACAGTGATACGCTCAACAAAAAAAGAGTAACATCAGACAGTAACATACTCAACAAAAAAAGAGTAACATCAAACAGTAACACACTCAATAAAAAAAGAGTAACATCAAACAGTAACACAAATATTTTTGTTGAGCGTGTCACTGTTTGATGTCAATGTATTACTTGTGTGTGTGTATATATATATGAAATTTTAAAATTCAAATGATACACAAATATCAAAACGAATTTTGAAAGTCTTACATTCAAATAAGTATGCACTATTTATGGTAGGAGTAATTATGGAATACATTTTAGAAAAAAATTAAAAATGTTTTAAAATGTGTACTTATTGACAACTATTTAATGAAAAAGAGGACTTAGAGGAGAATAAGTTTAGATGTAGTACTTAAAGCCAAATAAGTTTTAAAAAATGTACTCATATCCTATTATCTCTTTTAGTATTTGCAAGCTCAATCCAGTAGTTGGGATAACTAATTCCAAAGTTTTGGTGGGATTCAACAAAGTGGGTCAGATGAGAGAAATGACTACGGGGCGAGGATTTCAGCCTAACGTTTATCCCACTCAAAAAAATGGATCCAAATCAACTAGGTGGTGTTTGGATCACCATGGGAGGATTGAATTGGATTGGATTTGAATCCAAACCCAATCCAACCCAATGCAATGTGGTTTGGATTGGAGGATTATAAAGTTCAAATTCAAATCCTATCTCATGTTTGGATAGATTTCATTTGATTTGTGAGTCTCATTCACATGAAAAGATAAAACATATTAAAATGATCATTTCACTCTTGTGTAAAAAAATGTTATCCAATTATATACTCAGTTTGGAATGAAATAAAAAAAAGTTCAATCAATTAGAATTGTCTTATTTAGAAAAAAAAAATATTAATGCAATAAATATTTTGTTCATATATTTAATATAATTTCTACAATACACTTTTAATCACAAACATCCTAAAGCCAATTGAATTATTACAATGAAACACACGAGAGTCGAAACCACCAAACTGCCCAAACAAGACCAGAGAACAAAGAGAAAGAAAAGAAAAAAAATTAAAGAAATCTACTTCTCTTTCTCAGCTTCTTCAATACTTGCTAGTCCTAAAGCAGCAATAATTTCGCCTGGAAAGGAACACATAACTCCGGGGGGAAATCAGAGGAGAAGCCATCATTTACAGCTAGGTTTGCAAAAAATCTGCCAGGCAATTTGCCTCTCGAAAAATATGCTTGATGTTGAAATTCATCGCCCCCAGCAACTCCGAAATCTGTCTCAACAGATTCCAAAACTTCCAGGCCCATTTGAAAATAATAACTATTGACAAATTTGAATGCCTTCCGGGACTGCTTCACTCCTCCCTTTCCCAGTCCATTGCCCCCCTTCCAAGTCTAGACAATAGCGATTGATGCTTCAAAATATGAGAGAGGGAGAGAGAGAGAGAGAGAGGACTATTCACGACTGTGGAGTGGGCTATTGGAGGCGGTGAGGTGAGGAAGAGAGAAAAATGCTTACGTTGTAGCCCTAAACTGAGTACTATTTTAAGGTCATAACGGTAAAATCATCAGTTATCCTGTCTTTTGAAAATTTGCCCAAATGAATTCATATGCTCCGTGGGTTTAATGAATCCGGATCAGAAGGGATACAAGGCTTCAATCAGGCCGAGTAATTGAGTAACAAATTTATCCCATCTGAATTTGTGGATCCGAACCTGGGTCATGTGGCCCCCCGATAATTTATATCCAATCCAGGCGAGTTATCCACCTTTATCCCTCGAACCAACACCAAACACCACCCTAGGGGTTATCCCTTATAATCTTTTCCGAACCCACCCTATGCGTCTTTGTCTACCTCACTCTCTCGCTCTATCTATCCCTCTCACGCACACAAACGTTTCGGAAGCAAAAAGAGAGGTATTTTTGATTGATGTGCTCTGGAGGATTTAGGCTCGTGTGCACTTTGTTTGAAGCTAAAAAAAAAACATGAGAGTGATGCGTTTGAGTCAATTTTTTTACAGGATTTTGATTTATTGGAGGCTTTGAAGGTGCTTGGGATTCAAATTTTCGAGTAAAGAGAGAAGTTTATATCTATCAGCATAATGTTAGATCTGTTTCATTGACTCAAAAACTCTACTCTGTACTCTCTCTCTCTCTCTGTGCGTGTGTGTGTTCTCTGATTCAAACTTTTTTCTTTTTTGTGTATGAAATGTTTGTGTTTTATTTGAGTGGAGCCGCGAATGATGTGATTCCCAAATGGGTTTGGATTTCTTGAATAGCTGTAGTTTTAATAGTGACATAGACTATGAGTTTCTAATCGTTGGGTTGAGTTGAAAAATGTGTAAACTTGATAAGAGAATTAGATAAGCAAACAAATGGGACTTGGGGTTCAATATAGTTTGTTTGTATGTATGTATGTTCACTGGAGAGATAAACGAAAAGAACATAAATATTATACTTCCTTTATTTGTTCGTCACTATTGCAATTTTTGATAGAATAAAGGGTAGCTTTGTACCATTGGCTTAATTCTGGATGGAAATAAATATATTTTCTGTAAGCTCATTTGCTTCTCGAGTATGTTTTTTGTCCTCCTTGAGAAGAATAGCTAATAATTTGATTCTGTTTTTCTACTACTAGTTTTGGACGTAAATTTTTGATGCTATCGACACGATTTAAGCTAAACCTTTTTCTATTTCACCTGATTCATGATGTATCATAGTGTTCATGAAAAAGAATTAACAAGTTACACAGTGACAATTAAAAGATGTCAATTGGCTCTTCAACTTGAAGCTCGAATCTCTTTGGCTGCACAATTGCAAGTGACCTCAGTTCATCATTGGAATTCAAATCCCTCCAAATGTGGTTTAAGCATACAAAGAGAATCCAGTGAACAGAGTTCTAAACCATACAACTCCTTCCACTAATTTGTGCTTTATTTAATAGTTTGATTTGTGTTTTAATTTTATATAAAGCAATAGTATAGCTAGAGGGAGAACGTGTGTGTGTGTGAGAGAGAATGACTAGTAATATCTAATGTAAAGATGTTTTTACACTTTTTCAACCTTATTATTTTTTTGCCAAATTTAATTGTGTCATTGGCTGGACTTTGGGTCCAAATCATTAAACTAAGTTTTTTTTTTTTTTTATGGTTAAAATTATAATTGGGATTTTTTTGACTCAATTTTTATGGGTTTAAATTTTTTGTATGGACTATGTTATATAGACTTATAAATTTGGGGCCTCTATTTAAATTGGGGCCTAAAGCCCATGCTTTAGTGCCTTATGTATGGGCCGGCCTTGCATGGGATCTATGATACACTTCCAATCTTTCATTTCTAATTTCTTTTTTCTTTTATTTTCTCAACAATCAAACTATGATTTATGCATTTCTAATATTTCAGTAGGGCAATGTTTGGTGGGCTGAGAAAACAAAGGAAAAGAAATCTGTGTTTTGACATTGTCTGTTGTCCAGTTTCCAAGCAAATCATCTAAATAATTGTACAAGGATGAGTTGAGTTTGCTATTTCGGTTTTGCAAACAGCTTGCCAATAATTAGTGGTTGATCTACACTTGTGGGAGTTTTAGTAGGTAATGTTTGATAATCTGTTTTTGGTCTGGGAAGGAAGTAATTCTTGTGTTAATTAATTCCAGCGGTTGATTGAAAGGGACTTGCATCATTATTTGAGTAAAAGAATGGCATCAATGGGGAGACCGACGCCATCTCTGAAGAGACGTGATTCAATGGTATCAAAAGAAGGGGATCAGCTGATTATAACCCCTTTAGGGGCTGGCAGTGAAGTGGGTCGGTCCTGCGTTTACATGTCTTACAAAGGAAAAACTGTTATGGTATCATTTCATAAGCCCATTGGCCTTTTATTTTTGGTTACTTGTGGGTGTTTGGGTTTTGTGTTGCATTTAATGTGATTCAATTTGATTATTGTTAGTTTGACTGTGGAATTCATCCTGGGTACTCAGGCATGGCTGCTTTGCCCTACTTTGATGAAATTGATCCTTCAATCATTGATGTTCTTCTTGTTACCCAGTATGTTATTCTATTTGTTCTTTTTTTGGACTTTTTAATTATTGTTGCAACATCCTTAGCTACTATTTTGAGGTTTTGTGGGTGGTTTTACCTTTTGGTAGGAACTGTTATGTTGAGTTGAAAACAAAAATTTCAAACTGTAATGAGACTGTATAGGCAATTCATAGTTCTTGTACATTAATAAGACCAAATGACATTTTTGAGCCAATTGCTAACATGATCTGTTAAGTTAAATGATGGTGGGTCAATGACTTTGGTTTGAGTTGCTTTAATTTGGATGATATATTGGAAACAGGAAATGAAATATCTAACCTACTGTGTTCTGGTTGCTTTAGCATGAAATTGCCTCAATGTTTTTTATGGGTAGATTCAATTCACTTTTAAACTTGTTTGACCCTTTCTCTAGATTCCACCCTTATCAGTGTTCGGGAAAGAGATGAAGAAACCAAGGTGTTTTTTGTTTTTCATAACCTTTCTTTTTTTTTTGTTTGTTACATAGCTTTTGTTGTGCATGTGCTATGTGTCTATAACTTATTTTGTGATGGCATCTTCAACTGGAACTTTTCTTTCTACTTTTAAGGACTTTCTTATCTCAACTTTCCTTTTCTTTTAGTTTTTTTTTGGCTTAATTTTATTCCCTGATTGATCATACTACAATGTTCTGTTTGCAGTTTTCACTTGGATCATGCTGCATCCCTTCCATATTTCCTGGAGAAGGTTCGTTGCTTTCTCGACTTGTTTTAATTTAACTAATTTTTGTCAATTTCTTTTTAGATAAACTAAATGAATTGGCTTGTTTTCAGACGACATTCAAAGGGCAGGTTTTTATGACACATGCAACAAAGGCTATCTACAAGTTGCTTTTGTCTGATTACGTGAAAGTGAGCAAAGTTTCAGTTGAAGACATGTTGTACAATGAACAAGACATTCTTCGCTCCATGGATAGAATAGAGGTTTGTTCTAATGTTGTTGCTATATGTTTGGTCTCCATCTTTGTCTGGCCTTTTGGTCTTTCCATTTTCCGTCCTACTTTAGGTATTAATTTCACCCCTTTATGTGAATCTCACACAAGCAATTTTTGTTTGATATTAAACTTTGTTTTCTTACTATGATGATAAGATCTCAGTTGACTGAACAAAGTGCGAACATTCTTTTTCGCAGTTAACTTAGTTCAGCTTGCTATATCTTCCCTTTTTCTTTACATATCTTGAAATAATTAAATCAAGCTAGTGAAGATGTTTCATTTTTGTATCTCTTGAACTAGACTCACCCTTCTCTAAGACAATTCTTCATGCACCTGTGTCTTTTTTTTTCTTTTTGAAGTAAACCATTCCTCAGGAACTCTACTTGGGCATTCTGTTAATTTCTGTCCTCAACTGTCATCATTCTGCATGCAGAGCGCATAGAATAGGAATGATTAATTGCAGATGTGCAGTCAATTATAACTAATGAAGAAAGAGGAGCATCCATAAAGTGACTGACACTGTTATGTTAGCCAATTATCTATGCAACCATTGTGGGAGCACTTCTGCATGCAGTTTTTGGATATCTACATTGTAAACTCGTGTAAATAAAATCACAACTTACTTATCATAAACTTCGTCTCACACAACACATCAAACCCCCTTTCTGCAGGTTATCGATTTCCATCAGACTTTAGAAGTAAATGGTATCCGGTTCTGGTGTTACACTGCTGGCCATGTCCTTGGTGCTGCCATGTTCATGGTCGACATTGCTGGTGTTCGAGTCCTGTACACTGGAGACTACTCACGTGAAGAAGACCGGCATCTTCAAGCTGCTGAGCTCCCACAGTTCTCCCCCGACATTTGCATTATTGAATCCACTTACGGTGTTCGACTTCATCAACCGCGCCATATTCGAGAGAAGCGCTTCACGGAGATCATTCACTCAACCCTTTCACAAGGAGGTCGTGTCCTAATCCTAGCATTTGCCCTTGGCCGTGCACAAGAACTCCTCCTGATCCTTGATGAATATTGGTCAAACCATCCTGAACTCCATAACATTCCCATATACTAGCTTCCCCTCTTGCAAAAAGGTGCATGGCTGTTTATCAGACCTACGTCAATGCCATGAATGAGAGGATCCGCAATCAATTTGCCACCTCAAACCCTTTTGATTTCAAACACATATCGGCGCTGAGTAGTATTGAGAATTTTAATGATGCAGGCCCATCGGTTGTGATGGCAAGCCCAGGTGGGCTTCAGAGTGGGTTGTCTCGACAGTTATTTGATAAGTGGTGCTCTGACAAGAAAAATGCTTGCGTTATTCCTGGGTATGCTGTGGAAGGTACATTGGCAAAAACGATCACTACCGAACCAAAGGAAGTTACCCTTATGAATGGCCTCACTGTTCCTCTTAACATGCAGGTACATTACGTTTCCTTCTCGGCTCATGCGGATTATGCCCAGACGAGTGCATTCTTGGAAGAGCTTATGCCTTCTAACATAATTCTTGTTCATGGAGAAGCCAATGAGATGGGGAGGCTCAAGCAGAAGCTTATTTCTCTGTTTGCTGACGGCAACACCAAAATTATTTCTCCTAAGAACTGCCAGTCTGTTGAAATGTATTTCAACTCCGAGAAAATGGCAAAAACTATTGGAAGGTTGGCTGAAAAGACCCCTGAAGTTGGTGAAACTGTTGGTGGTTTGCTAGTAAAGAAAGGGTTCACTTATCAGATCATGGCACCTGATGATCTTCATGTGTTCTCACAACTATCAACTGCAAATGTCACACAAAGGATTACCATCCCATACTCAGGTGCCTTTGCAGTGATAAAACACAGACTCAAGCAGATATACGAAAGTGTGGAGTGTTCGACAGATGAGGAATCTGGGGTTCCAACCTTGCGAGTGCATGATTGTGTAACAGTGAAG